TTTTTTTTGAAGGAAGAGAGAAAGCCAGTCCATGGACACACCAAGGCCCACCTGATCAGCCCACCTTTCCTTCCTTCACTCTGTATCCCTAGACCAGCCCCTCACTTTTCTCCCCTGCTCTCTTGTCCGCATCTCCTCATCATCCTCCTTCCCTCCCTCAGCTCCAGCCACACTGTCTGTCTCAGAACCTTTGGCCTCAGAACCTTTGGTCTTGTTCCTTTTGCTTGGGATGTTCTTGCTGCAGATACATCCTTCCCCTTCATTGACTCCCCTGTCAGAACATCTATCCTCCAGGGCAAGAGCTTTAATCCTCTTTCTTTACTACTGTAGATCCAGTGGACTCTTGTCGATCAGTGCTGGACTATGAACGACAAGGTTGGTGATTCAAATCCACCAGTGGCTCCTTGGAAACCCTATAGAGTTGCTATGAGTTGGAGTCATCTCGATGGCACTTAACAATAACATAGACCCAGTACCCCGCACTGGGTGTGACACAAGGTTCTTACACAGTAGGCATGTGTTGGTTGAATAAGGAGCCGCTCCTAGGAGTCCTGGTATGACACTGTAGGGTACGTACTGGACTGCTAACTACAAAGTTGGCTGTTAAACTTGCCAGTCATTCCTCAGAAACCCTATGTTGTTGTTAAGTGCTGTTGAGTCAGTTCCGACCCATAGCGACCCTGTATAGGGTTTCCAAGAAGCAGCTGGTGACCTTGAACCGACAACCTTGCAATTCAAACCGACTTTGCAGTCCAGCACATTAACCCACAGCGCCGCACCAGGTACCCGACTGGGTGGCACTTAACAACAACAACAACACTTGGGAATCTAAAAGGTCATCGGTGCAGAGGAAGGGCAGTGATAGGCAGGCTGGGATTGGAAATTCCACTCTCCCAAACTGCAGGGCTGCTGGCCTCTTTGAGTCTCAGTTGCCCCCACCTGGTAAATAAGCAGAGACGCACTCAGCTCAGAGGGCATCATGACAGACACGTGGAAGGTGCTTCAGTTATTCAGCTTTTCATAATTCAGAGGTTAAGGACACAAGTTTAAGAGCTGAACTGCTCAGGTTCAAATCCGAGCATTGCCACTTGTTTGCTGTGTGACCCTAGATAAGTAACTTCTCTGAGCCTCAACTGCAATCTCTGCTAAATGGGCTTATGATAATAAATAATAACAATAAAATGTATCTCATGGCAGGCCGTGAGGAATAGAGAATCCACATAGAACATTTAGAATTGTACAGAGTGAGCACTCACTCTGTTGGTGTGAGGCGTTAGGTACTGTCCAGTTGGTTCGACTCAGAGCAGCTCAGTCCTGCACAGTCGTTGCTATGTTTGAGCCCCTTATAAATAAATGTTGCTGATGTTAAGTACCACCCAGTCGGTTCTGACTCGTAGAGACCCTGTAAAGGACTTCTGAGGAGCAGCTGGTGGGTTTGAACTGTGGACCTTCCAGTTAGCAGTCCAGTGTTGATCCTATAGTGCCACACCAGGACTCTGTGTGTGTGTAAATGGTAGCTGTGTTTGTATTATTGTTGTCATTGTTACTGGAAGAATCCCTGAATCCAGACTCTGGAGATGGACTAGCTGAGCTTCAAATCCCAGCCATGCTACACAAGGGAAGAGCCATTGTCCAGTGCACTTCCCCCCTGCCCCCTGCCCAGGGTTTCTACTTAGTAAGATACAGGTGACAAGAGAGCCTAGGTTACACTGGGCAATGGGTAACTGAAGTTTCTCTGTGAGGTGCCACACTGCACACACACCGGTAGCTGCGGCGGTTGCTATTATGATTCTGTGATATGATTTGTGTGCCAATCCATCCCTACCTCCTGTTTTTTGGGGGTCTTACCACGAGGAGCATGGACCTGCGGCGGCAGAGTGCAGCACCCACGCCAAAGCTGGCCACCACGAAGAAGGAGAAGCCGCAAAAGATGGCGATCCAGGCGCCAGCGAAGACGTCGTCCTTACCCGAGACGCCCATCAGCGGGTACACGCGATACTGGTCAGCAGTCACCCACACTGTCTCCGCAAACAGGGCCAAGCCTGACAGCTGGACGGGGCATCCAGTTAGAAAGGAAAGACCTGCTCAGGGCTAGCCGTCCTGGCTCCCGGCAGCTGTAAGTTCCTTCCCCACTCTGAGTTTCCTCTGCCTTCTTCATAAATGACAAGAGATGAGACAACAGGGCAGCTGGAGGCTGAACAGAGATGCCACAGCCAAGCTTCAGTACAGGCCTGGCACACAGGGGCTGCTAGGGCAAACTGCTTGCCCTTAATAGCGCTCTTGAAGAGGGAACGTTGTTAAATTCCAAATGAATAGACCCTTCGCTCAGCAATTCGACATTGAGGAGTCAATCCTAGAGATGCACAGGACCACATAGGAAAATCACAGAGCCACACAGTTCCTCCCTGCAGCACCCCGGAGCCTGGATGTCGTATAATCAAGACTGTGCAGTTGTGGAAAGGGGCAAGGAGGAGCCCTGAGGACTGATGTGGAGTGGAGTGGAGTGTAAGGTGAAAAATCAGTGAGTGGAACAGGATGTGAAATGAGCTACATTTGGGAGAAACAGTGCATCTATGCTTCTGTCTGCTTAACACGATACTGGAGAAACTGAAAATCTAGCGGTAAAGGAGTCCCGATGTGGTTCTGTAGGATAAGCACTTACTATCTGGAAGGTCAGCAATTCAAACCCACCAGCTGTTCCTCAAGAGAAAGATGAGGCTTCCAGCTCCTGTAAAGTTTTACAACCTCAGAAACTCTATACGGGGAGAGTGGTGGCTCTGTAGGATAAACACTGGACTGAGAGCCACAAGACCAGTGGTTCGAACCCATCAGAAGCTCTGTGGGAGAAAGATGAGGTTTCCTGCTCCCACAAGGATTCACAGCCTCAGAAACCCTATACAGGGTCACTATGAGTCAGAATCGACTTGACAGCACTTAATAGCACCAACTACATAAGTTGGAGTCGACTCCATGGTAGTGAGTTTGGTTTGGTTTCTAGGGGCAAGCGATAGGAAGTACGGAGGGAGGGGAACTTCTTAGTGGGCACCTTTTAACAACAATAAAAGCCAACACAGAGCACTTACTATATGCCAAGCATGGAAGGAACTGCCTTCAGTGTGGTCATTATTACTGTAATTAGCCTCAGAGTTACTAGTATTGCTAGGGCCCAGTATAAATAGTCATCAGGTGCCGAACACCATTCTAAGTTCCTTCTTCCAATAACCCATTCATCTCCACAGCATATTATAAATGAGGAAACTGAGGCCCAAAGACGTCCTATCACTGGCTCCAGGTCCCATAAATTAGAAAGGAGCAGAGCCAGGGTTTGACTCCAGCCTGTGTGATTCTAGAGCAATGTACAAGTACCAATCATTACAGAGCAAACAAAAACTGTTATAGGAACTGAAACACATTGTAAATATTCATCACCAGGGGCCTCCTGTGGGCCAGGCAGTGACTTTATGTCCATGATGATGTTGATGAGGACAGCTTGTCCTTTTTCTGAACCAAGGCCGCACTCGTACATAAATCAGAGCATTTAATCCACACAACAGCTCACACAAAGAAGAGACGATCTACAGATGGAGAAACAGAGGTACGGGGACATCAAGTCCCCTGCTCAAGGCTAAACTGGGGAGCTTTGGATTGAGGGCTCAAATCCAGGCTACTCTGGCTTGGGGTCTGCAGCGCTGGTTTGTTGGGGAGTCCTGAGACCTCAGCCCCCACCCCTGCCCAGGATTGCCTCTTTACTGCCTCACACCCATCAAGTGCCCCAATACTGGGGGTGGCTCACCAAAATAATGATGTTGCCCACAACCAGCAGTCCCACTACGACTGGGGATCCTTTCTCTGTCTCAGCTGCTGCAGAAGCCATGGTCCTGCCTGGGGTACAAATGAACAGAGGTGAGGCTGTGCAGAGGCCAGGAGGGGAGGGAGGATCCAGCTCAACCCACCTCCTTCACCTCACACCCCGGCTGCCAGGAGTTGCTTCGGTCCAGGCTGGTACTAGATGGGCTCAGTCTCCCACCACCCTGGGGGGTGGGCACTGATCTGAGACCCATTTTACAGAACAGGAAACCAAGGCTCAGGCAAGACAGTCACTGTCCCGAACTTTAAGCTGTCTGTTCCCCATTACCAGCCACGCCCACACCCTTCGCTCTAAAACTTCAAACCCCCTCCTCACCTTCTCTGCCTGAGGTCTCTGACTAGTCTCTCTGGCCATGGTGCTTCCCTATATATATATATACCCAGACTGCCCCCTTCCAAAGAGGGAGGGGAACAAGAGGGGGCTAAGACCAGACGGGCAGACCAGGATCGGGGTGTGGCTTTTATGAGCTCCCCTCCAAAATCATTTATGAACCTGAAATTCCAGATCGTGCTAGTGTCTGGCCACATGGGCAGAGAGATGTGTGTGTGCTCTGCCCTTGACCCCTGGTTCCCAGGCTTGGGTGGCGCTACTAAGTTTAGTGCACTACTAAATGTTCCTTAATGTCTCACTCCCTAGGCCATGGACATTCCTTGGAGTAAGAAAGAGAGATAACAGTACATTCTATCTGTCTCCTCTGGGTATATGTGACCTTGGATAGGTGATTCCACTTCTCTGAGGCCAAGAGCCCAAGGAGAGGACAGGGCTAGATCGGGACTGTGGGACTAGAGATGAGGGCTGGGTGGGCAGAAGGAGGCTGAATGGGGATCTCGCATGGAGAGGTAGTGGAGAAAAAAATTGCACACAAGATGGGTGTATGAGGGAAGTTCAAGGAAATGAGTGTACAATGAACATTGAGGAGGGACGGGGAGTGTTAAGAAAGGGAGAGGGGACTTGGTGAAAGAAACTTCACTTCTACACAGAAACGCACAAGAAAGCAGACAGTGCATGATCACAGTGAGGAGCTAGGGGCCAAAGTGGCTTCAGACTCAGAGAAGATACTAGGTTCAGATCCCAGCTCCACCTCTTCTGTGCGGTGACTTGGCATGTGCCTTTGCCCATCAGTACAATGGGTACCACAGGCTACCTGCTCAGGAAGCAGGGGGCACTGAGTCACGGTATGTGCGCAGACTTAGTCCCTGGCCACATCTCTCCAGCAGGCTCCGAAAAGGCCCACACGCCCTTCAATGGCGCCACCTGGTGGCATGAGGCTTACTGTGCAGGCGAAAATCATGACGGAGGCTCCAATCTTCCCTGCCCCGCTGCCCTCAAAACAAACCTATTCCTAGAAACCCTATAGAACAGAGTAGAACTGTCTCAACTGCCACATCTTTCTTTGGTTAACGCAATCAATCACTTTAACCACTATGAACGTCTCAATTCCGAGGGCTAGGGCATTTCTTGTGTTTTCTCTCTGAGTTGTGACTTCCACAGTGCATGTGAGACTGACAACCAGAAGGCTCTTAAGACACAAAAGGTGTTTTCCAATTAAAATGGTTTATTTGATTTCTACTCAATTCACTTCAGATTTAAAGTTGTTTTTCTCTCTTGATTTATATTTGCATTGAGGACTAATGAGAAAATGTAAATAATGACATATATGAAAAGCCGGTACTTTTTAAAAGTCTTAGCTAATGACTTGCAAAACAATAGGACTGAGCGAATAATATGAAGCATTTTGGTTTGAAAGAGTTGATGCTAGTTGTTGTTGTTAAGTTGCCATCCAGTTGGTTCCCTGGTATACTGTCCATGCACAACAGACTCAGATCATTAGAAGGTGGTTTGGAAGCAGATTGCCAGACCTCTCTTCTTAGTCTCTTTTATTTGAGCTGTTGTTGTTAAGTGCCGTCGAGTCGATTCTGACCCATAGCGACCCTGTACAGGGTTTCCAACGCTGTAAATCTTTATGGGAGCAGAACGCCTCATCTTTCTCCCACGGAGCGGCTGGTAGTTTCGAACTGCTGGCCTTAAGGTTCACAGCCCGAATCTTAACCACTATGCTACCAGAGTTCCTTACTTGAGCAGCTCCTCTAAACCTGTTCAGCATTGTGGGGACACATATGCTTCCACTGACAGATGGCTGATGGCTGCACTTGAGATGCATTGGCTGGAAATGGAACCTGGTTTTCCCACGTGGGAAGTGAGAATGTTACCACTCTTAGAATTCCACCCAACTGTTAGTGGTAGAAGTTATGTACTGTGGAGTCGGTTCCAACTCATAGTGACCCTGTCCAGGGTTTCTGAGACTGTAAAGCTTTTTTTAATGTTTTATTGTGAATTATGTGATAGTTTACATGGGAGAACATTAGTTTTACATTCATCCTATTGTATACCTTTTTAAGATGTTCTATTGTGAATTATGTGATAGTTTACATGGGAGAACATTAGTTTATATTCATCCTATCGTATATTGTTTCATTCCCCTCCATGCATCATCAACCAACAAGAGACCTATCCGCGTTTCATTTCATCAGCCCCGCCTAGACAGATTGGATACTGCTCAGTGGAGATTCTACCTTCCTCCTCCACGCCCTCTGGATCTAGGTTCCCTCTTGAAAGCTTGCAAGCCAGTCACTTCTTTCCTTTGTAGCCCCCGCCCCCCATTTTGGGTAGCCAATGTCCAATTTGCCCATCCCTATCTATTCTGTGTATGGTATAGAGGGGGTGGGAATGATCCTTGCTGTAAAGATTTGTTCCCTCTTTTGAGCTACTGCATCCATAGGTGTAGGTCAAGTTCATCAAATTGTTACAAATGACTGTTTTGTTCTTTCTTCTTCTAGTTGAGCTCTGATCATCCAGTCATTGAAGCCAGGTCAAGTGGGTATTATCTGCAAGTGTGGGTGTACTTGTGCATATGCCCTCTCTTCTTATTGGCTGGATGCTTCACTCTGCACTCTAGTCCTCTGTGGCTATGTCACTGACTCTGGGACCAAAAGTCCTCAGGTCTTGCCATACTGCTGGCCAACCAGGTCTCCACCCGGGTTCACAGGAGTCTATTGAACATTGTAGGGCTTAGCTCACAGCTTCATTGCTGTTTTTCCCTCACTTCCTCTTTTGGGTGACTAACGTGGTCATCAATCAGAGCGTGTATTCCCATTGAGTCTTTGATCTGAGAGGGCCTGACCACTTGCCTTGATGTCTCCTGGGCAAGCAACTTGCTTGTTCTTGTAGTAATCAGTCAGTCTGCCTATTTTGTTTTGTATTTTCCTGTTGGTCTTTCTTTCAAAAAGTATCTTCTGTTCTTCTAGCCTCTCCAGGGTGGTCTGCTCATCCTTTCAAGTAGAAATTTCCCACCTCAGAAGATTCTGGATACTGTTCAGGATTCCACCTATAGTCTTACATAATGCAGAGGTTCCACAGGAAGCCTTCTTCACTGAGCACGTTGTAGCCCCATTTAAGGTATTCCAACCAGTTGTAGGCAGAAAACAGACTTACAAGCTTTTTCTATGGTGGACTGTAAATCTTTATGGGAGCAGAAAGCCTCATCTTTCTTCCGCGGAACAGCTGGTAGTTTCGAACTGCTGACCTTAAGGTTCGCAGCCCGGTTCATAACCACTACTTGGGAGTTATATAAAACAAAAGTTGAATCAAAGCAAAAAATTGTCATCAATGGGGCATTACTGTGCCAACGGTCATGAAAGGGAGCCATTTTGTTCTGAAACATGATGCCAGTACACTTGGTTGTTCTACTTGAATTTTCACTGTTTTTACTTACCTGGTGTGGTGCTGTGGGCTAATTAATGTGTCAGACTGCAAAGTCATTAGAACTGCAAGGTTGGTGGTTCAAGCTCACCAGCTGCTCCTTGGAAACCCTATACAGGGTTGCTATGGGTCAGAATCGACTTGACAGCACTTAACAACAACTTACCTGAGTCCATCTTCCAAACATGTTGAAGTGTGATTTACTCCCCCGCCCGAATTACAATCCTAATATATCCTCAAGCTAAACATATGCCTACTTTAGAACTCAGAGCTCTGGTGGCATAGTGAGTTACAAGGGCTGCTAACCACAGGGTTAGTAATTCAAACCCACCAGCCACTCTGTGAGAGAAAGGGGAGGCTTTCTGCTCCCATAAAGATTTACATAGCCTTAGAAACCCTCAGCTGGGCTGCTATGAGTCAGAATCAACTCAACAGCACCTAACGACAACTTTAGAGCCCAGCTAGTCTCCTTTGGAGAATTCTCTCTGCTTCTGTCCAGCAAATGCTATGAATGTACTTCACAGAAGCCTCAAACTGCAAACCATCGAAATGCCCAACAACAGTAGAATGGAGAAATTCATTCTGGTACACATGCACTGCTTAGCAATAGACGGGAACAGCCTACGAGTACATACAGCTAACTACAGGGATGAATCTCAGAAGCATTATCTTCAGTGAGAAGGTTATATTCAAAAAGAACATTTGTATCATTGTAGATACAGATGTAGAACAGGCAAACCAATCAGAGCAGTGTTTACACCAGGGGAGACTGGGACTGCAAAGGGAATGAGGAGGACTTTTTGTTCTCTATTTCGATACTGGTTACATGCTGGTGTTTACTGTGAAAATGTATCCAATTGTACACTACGATAAACCATTTATCTGCATATATTTGTTAACTTCTTCACAGAGGATAGATCTTTTCCAAGAAATAGCCTCCCTCAATGTGCTAAAGTGGTGTTTTTCAAAGAGGCCACCTGAGATGATTTCAAGTTGTACCCAGGCATGACGTGAAATAATACAAGATTCACATAATAAGATAGTTATCCAGCGCGCCTCAGAGCAATGCACCTCTCTCTAACTGCAGGACAAAGTTGTGCTTTCTGCTCCTGCAAAAATTTACAGCCCTGGAAACCCTATACAGGGTTGCTGAGTCAGAAGTAACTTGATGGCCCTTAACAACAACTATACAATAAGCACTGAACTGTTAACTGCAAGATTGGTGGTTCAAATTCACCAGCCATTCCTTGGAAACCCTATAGAGGGTTGCTGAGTTGGAATTGACTTGACAGCACTTAACAACAACAACAACTTTGTGTAGAGCAGACCACAACAGGCCCTAGTGTCTGACTACAATGTAATAACACATTTTCATGGTGTTTATATTTAAAACAAGATGCTGTGGGGGTTTTTTTTGTTTTTGTTTTTTTATGTTCAGTGGTGAATATGAAAGTTTCTGTAAAAAATTTTATTACAAAATATTTCTAGTATATAAAAAAATATAGAAAAGAATGTAACAAAAACCCAGGTACACTTTGTCAAATCGAAATATTTTCTATATT